GAGTCTTCCCAATAGACACATGAAAAGATGCTCAGAACCCCAAGCCATCAGGGAAACACAAAGAAAAACTACAATGAGGTTTCACCTCTACCCAGTAAAAATAACAAATGCTGATGAGGATGAGGGAGAAAAGGTACCATAATACACTGCTGGACTATTGGTGGGCATGTACACTGGTACAGCCATTATGGAAGACAATATGCAGATTCCTCAGAAATTTGAAACTTGATATACCATATGACCCAGCTATTCCACTCCTGAGAATTTACTCAAAGGAAATGAAACCACCATATGGAAGAATTATCCTTACCCCCATGTTTATCCCTGCTCAACTAAGATATAGAATCATCCCAGATGTCCATCAAATGATGACTAGATATAGAAACTGTGTATATATACACAATAGAATACTACTCAGCCACAAAAAAGAATGAAATCCTTTCTTTCACAACTAAATGATGCAATTAGAGACCATTATACTTAGTGAAACAAGCCAATCCCAAAAGACAAAATATCATATGGTTTCTCTGATTTGTGGTAATATACAGCAGACAAACAAGTATGATATCTGAGTAAAACTGACATTTTAAGACTTGCTTATAGCCCTTGTCTATACTTTTGAGGAACAGTGGTTTTTCTACCTACTACTGGTTGAACTGTTTATTCAGTGATGGGTTAAGCTTTGTTTATAAAGCAAACTGAAAGTATGTCATTGTAAAAATTAAGAAAAATAAGAAAGGAAGGTAGAGGGTGGGATCAAGGGAAGGAGGGAGGGTAGGATGGGAAGCATCATATGCTCTTAAAACCGTATATATGAAATACATGAAATGTGCCCCCACTTAAAAGAGGGGGGCCTTCACAAATCTAATCCAAAAGAATGAAAGAAATAAGAATTTTCACTAGCAATGATTGTTCATATGTTACAGCTTAAGAAATACGCAGTATGCTTCAGTAAGTCAATGCTCAAGGAAATTGTCTTCCCACTTGCTTTATTTAAATTTAAAAATCACTTAAAGACACTATTTAAAAATTCTCACTGATTCCTTAGAGTGCTAGTATTCTCCACAAACACGCCACGAACTCCACCCAAGTTATTAGAAATTCTGCTTGCAGCTTCCAATTTGCTGTCCTTCAGATCTACACTGCAGCTAGTCAGCAAGCAAACCAAAGATTTGGCCTTTGCTGCCCCCTAGTGGAATCACTCTACTTACTTCCTTAAGTGACTCCAAATTTCTGAGAGCCACAAGTATATCCAGGGCAGGAAGGCTACATTTTACTATTGCTGAGATTACTTTACCTACGTCCCACTACTCTGGAAAAGAATATAATCATAAATAAACTCCCATCTTCTATCTACAGTCTCCCTGTCTTCCCCAAATTAAAGTCCTTAAACAAGGAGTACCTGATGTGTGCCTACCTTCCACTCCCAAATCTTTTGTTTTCAACCAGGTATTTTAATAACAACAAATACAAGAGCTTGGTTTTCTGAATACCAAAAACCTCAAGTCATAAACAGAACTACTTGTAAGTGATAGAATGTATCACTGGTCACAGCATTATAAAGCTATATCCCTTGCCTCACTTGTCTGAAAAGGGGACTTTATTAGAAACGGTGTGATAGTTAAGAAAATAGATGAAAATTTCTGAAATGCTCAGATCAAGATTTTCAGACAGAGGAATAAATTGGAATAAGTACTTCAATGCAACAAGTACCTGAAGCATCTTTTTTTTTCCTCCGAAAAGGGGGGGGGGGGTGTCAGAACTGATCTCCCAACCTTGGCTATTTTGCTAACAAATTTGTTTTTCTATACATTATAGTTCAATTCCAAAAGAAAACACTAACTGGCAACCTGGTTTTAATTACAGCCTAACATGCAGGATTTTAATTAGTACCAAATTTTAATTTAGCCTTTATTCAACTCAATTATTCAGTCTCGTGGCCCACGAAACTTTCTAATTATCTCTAAGCCCATTAAATGCCAACTTTTAAACCTCCAGAGAAAAACTAAGCATTATATATGTCAAGCTTGTCACTGGCTATACATATAAAATAATCAAATCAGGGTACATTTAATTGGTTATCAACAGTCAGACAGACTTGCCCTTTAAAGAACTGACTCTATGAGAAATTACATTAAAAGCATTTTTTCAAACCTGCATTCTCTCTAGACCCAACCACTAGGATGCTGTCCTCCAGCTTCTTCCACAGTGCTAGATCCAACTGAATGTGCTCGACTGCATTCACTCATCCACTTTTCCAAAACCAAGGATCCCAAAATATGTCCCCTTCTGGGGCCTTTTCTTGATGAGATGTCCAAGAGTCTTTATTTAGGGAGAATTTTTAAATGCTGCCAGTCATATGCTATAAGGGAGTAAGTTGCCCTGTCCACATCCACACTGCTGATGCATCTAGAAGACATGGAAGCCCCTACATGCTTATGAGACAATTACCTATCCAGAGTCCTAAAGGTTCACAAAAGGCAGATGTGTGCACAGGTTCACATATCTACATATATTACTTATTTACTGAGGAGAATTAAACAGTGGGCAAAGATTCATTCTACCAGCCACCACTGACAATGTATTGGAAGACCTCACTATGAATGTTAATACAAGTATGTAGCCAACACATTAACTACACTGAGACACCACACATCTTTCTTATAAAATAGAAGGCAGACAGGCTGCCCTTCTACCCATTCCCCCTTTGACAGATACCAGAAGAAAACAAATTTGTAAAGACTAGTTGATCTGTGTACAATGCCAGTCACAAAATAGGGTCCTAACTCTATTGCTGATTCTAAATATGACATTGATGGCAATTAAGACTTACTCTTGAAACTTCTAGTACATAAGGACTATTTTATAATAGTCTTTCACTATTGTACTCTCTTTTTAACAATGATAAAAAAATACATCTAAGGACATTTGCATCACAACCATGTTTAACGATAGCTCACACGGAAAATTCAAACCAACTAAAAACCTGTAAACATTCAAATACTTAAACACTGAGCTAAGGAGAACACTGAAATCTTCGTTTCAGATAAACAAAAAAGCCATCACAAACAAAAATATGTTTTTCTTTAGAGACATCTGAAAATCATGGACATAAAGAAACCTAAAAATTATACTTAGGGACTAGCACTGTGGCACAGCAAGTTAAGATGCTGCTTACAACACCGGAATCCACTATCTGAGTGCCAGATCGAGTCCCAGCTGCTCTGCTTCTGAACCAGCTCCCTGTTAATGCACCTGAGAAAGCAGAGGCAGTTGACGCAAGTACTTAGGCCCCTATCATTTACATGGAAGACTGGGAGGGAGTTCCTGACTCCTGGCTTCCACGTGACCCTGCCTACCCACTGCAACCACTTGGGGAGTGGACCAGTGGATGGACATCTCTCTCTTCTCTCTCCTCTCTCTCTGTTCATCAGATAAATACATAAATCTGTATTTATTTTTTTAAAAAATACTAAGCTCAAAAGGGGCTTCTTGGTTAAGCAGAGGCTAGAGGAAACAGATCTCTGAAGCGGTAGGTGCAGGTCAAGTGGAAAAGCAAGCCTTCAAGAGAAGTATGATCTTTGCTTGGATGAAGAGCAAAGGTCTTGGGCCTAAAAATCCTGTCATCCTTGGAGAAGACTTAAGTTGTAGCTTGAAATAAGAAGCAACTGTTGGTTCAATCAGTCCAATATTGAAATCCATGCTGTAAATAGCCAATCATATACAATTCTGATGACAAAGAAAATGCAGAGAAAAATGTAAAACCCAAGAAAGAGGTAGCTAATCACAATTAAACAAAACCTTAATGTGATGAATATTTAGGTTATTTTTCCAATTCTTAACCACTACAAATATTGGCAGGACAAACATCTTTACTAAAATTTTACTCATCTTATTTTCTTAACATTAATGTCTGAATGATCAAGTTTTAGATGTAGAATTAATGAGGTAACACGAAGAACTCTCTGACTTTTGATAACTATTAACCATTCATAATTCTACCAGCAGCATACAGCTCCCAGCTTCTCTGCAACCTTCATGACACTGAAAAATCATGCAACACTTTCACTCAGGTATCTTTCTGTGACTTTCAGTTCCAAAGAACTGTGTTATACTCTTTTCTAGATGGTCACCACAGCTATTGAGCAAATACAGGGTATTTTTATAGGAAGTGGGGAGAGGAAACCATGGAAAGAAGAGGAAATATCTGAGGGTGGCCTCTAGCAATGCTTCCAATTCCTCTTAGGAAGAAAAGGGGGAAATTATGACTTTAGACCACTCTGCATCTTATTAGACCCCCTACAACAAATGGTAAGATCACAAGATTTAAAAAAAAAAAGGCCGGCGCCACGGCTCACTAGGCTAATCCTCCGCCTTGCAGCGCCAGCACACCAGGTTCTAGTCCCGGTTGCCCCTCTTCCAGATCAGCTCTCTGCTGTGGCCCGGGAGTGCAGTGGAGGATGGCCCAAGTCCTTGGGCCCTGCACACGCATGGGAGCCCAGGATAAGTACCTGGCTCCTGCCACTGGATCAGCGAGGTGCGCCGGCCGCGGCGGCCATTGGAGGGTGAACCAATGGCAAAGGAAGACCTTTCTCTCTGTCTCTCTCACTGTCCACTCTGCCTGTCAAAAAAAAAAAAAAAAAAAAAAGATCACAAGATGTATACTAGAGGAGCCAGACTTCCTGGGCTTACAGCTAGCTCTGGGATCTTTGAGCACACTAACTGCCCAAGGCCTTAGGGTCCTCATCTGAAAACAGAGAGGTCATTAGATTCAATGAGATAACATTCAGTGAGCAGTTCTGGTAAATAATAAAAACGAAATATGGATTGTTCTAGACAGTCATACAATCTAATACTTATCAAGTTGCTGACACCCACATCACAAAATGCCAAAATCACATTAACTTACCAGAATCTCTCTGTTCTTTGTCTGAAGTTGGGGCAACATGCTTTATTATTTGGAGAACACCAAAAGCAAAGAAATGAATCTACACACCCACCTGGCTGTTCTACCTGCTCTGTGAATATACGTGTTGGCATCCTCTGGACAATCAAACTGAAGAACCCAATTCACAGCTGGAAAATCTATAGAAAAGGAATGACAAGTTAAAAAAATCAGTTTCAAGATCCGCCCTGCTATACTATCTTTATTTTACAATATTAGTTTTCTAGGACTTTCCATCACATCAAGCTAATAGACATCAGTTGTGAATTTTATTAAAATTAATTGCATGAACCAAAAAGTAATAAACATTTTTCTTTGACAAAGTAAACTAAAATTAATGATAGTATTTGAATGTGAAGATTATTTCATTTGTGACACAGAAGAGATGGACTGCTCTATGTCAGACAAATAATTAAATACCCTTGTTATGTAATAACCTAGAAGAACCACTTTTCATGACATACTAGTGATCTGTGAAACTGGTTTCTAAATTTAACTGAAAATTTACTTCGCCTGCTATTTCCATTCATATTTAAATTAATGATGTCTTTCTAGGTCTCTCTCCATGTTTCCTAGCAAGCATATATATTATATATATATTCTATACTACTTCTGACTATAGCAGTATCCATTCATTACCAGAGAATCTTGCTCTCAATTTCTTAAGAAGTACCTTTAATAATTTTGGGATTTTGCTATAAAGATTTCAGATCAATTTCATTCAGACAATGGGATTTTTTTGAAAAAGATACAAGCAGATAATGACACAAGCATCAAAACGGTCACTAAGTCATACACATCTATTTTAAAAGGTTAAATTTTAGTACGGGGAGGAAAAATCGAATGGCACTACCTGGACTCACTCTCTCAGGACTGAAAAGAACCAGGTACCTCAGGAGGCCAGAGAACAATGCACAGCTTTGAGAAGGAAGATGGTTTGAAGGCAGCACTTAGAACCTCAAACCCCTCACTTCTCCAGTATATTTCATTCTCAATGGAAAACAGAAATCACATCATCTAAAGACTTCTAACTCTGTTACACAAAATATAGTAGAAAGTAGAGGCACCAGAGGCATAGTGAAAACGGGGATAACTCTGCGGGGCGGGGGGTGGGAATCTTCTTGCTGCCTGGGAGGCCACACTGCCAACTTCCTTGCTAGGTTTCCAAAGGGCCAGCAGCAACTTTAATTCTCAAAAGACTGAAGTTAATGCTCGAAAAGAGTACATGTTGATATTTTGGGTCTGCTACAAAATTACTAATTCTGTCCACCTCACCATGACAATCATATGACAAAAAGCCTCATACAAGCACAAACACCTTCAAATAGATTTCTGGTCCCTCATGACAGTTATTAACTCAGAGAATCACAACAGAGAAACAATCTAAGTACACAAATTCCTTCAACAACACATACCCAAAATATTATAAATATTCAACGATTTTTTTTTTAACCAAAACACCAAGCAGCATTTCAAAGGCGTCCTCCAACTTAAAGACATGAATCTCTATTCTATATTGCTCAGTATGGTAGCTCACAAAATGTAACGAAAACTCATACTCAAATTCATCCCATCCTCAGTCCCACGAATTAAAGTGTTCAAAACCACAGAAGGCTACAAGTGATAGTACTGGACAGTACACACATGAAATGTTTCAATGACCATAGAAAATTTATTTGAACATGCTGGTCAAACTGAATTTCTGCACAGTAAGTAGGATCTTGCACTAAGGTATATTATCATTAAACATCTGGACATGTGGATAAGCAGAACATCCTAAGATATGCAGCAAAAGAAAAAAGAGTTACAGAAGAAATCAGACAGGTAAACATCTCAAAAGAATACTGATTTCTAAAAGACAACAGAATATATGTGCAAAATTCTAATAATTTCAACCTAATATTCTATTCCTAGCACAATTATTAAAGAGCAGTCCATCATCAGATTTGCCAGTATTCAAAATCTACTTCCAATTCACCCTTCCTCAGGAAGTTATTAAAGAACAAGACTTAGTTAAAATAAATAAAAAGAAAGGAAGAAAGGAAGGCAGGCAGGCAGGCCATGAAAGAGAAAAATAGGTATCTTCTGGGCCCATGTTGCAGTGCAGCAGGTTAAGTCGTCAGCTATGACATCAGCATCCTATATGAGCGCCAGTTTGAGTCCAGCTGCTATACTTCTGATCCAGATTCCTACTAATGCACGTGGAAAAGCAGAAGATGCGCCAAGTACTTGGGGTCCTGTATCCATGTGGGAGACAGAAGTAGCTCCTGGCTTCAGCCCGTCCCAACCCCAGACATTGCAGGCATTTGGGGAGCAAATTAGTGAACAAAAGATCAAATCTCTCTCCCTCTCTCTTTCTCTCACCCTTTCCCTCTCCCTCTCTCTGTAACTGCCTTTAAAATAAGTAAATCTTTAAAAACGAAGAGGAGGAGGAGGAAGAAAGAAAATCTTAAGAAGAAGAAGCGGCCGGCGCTGTGGCACAGCGGGTTAATGCCCTGGCTTGAAGTGCCGGCATCCAATATGGGCGCCAGTTCAAGACCCTGCGGATCCACTTCCAATCCAGCTCTCCGCTGCGGCCTGGGAAACAGTAGAAGATGGCCCAAGTCCTTGGGCCACTGCACCCACGTGGGAGACCCAGAAGAAGCTCCTGGTTACTGGCTTCAGAACAGCACAGCTCCGGCCGTTGGGGCCAATTGGGGACTGACCAGCAGATGGAAGATCTCCCCCCCAACCCCCCACCTCTCCTCTCTCTGTGTAACTCTGACTCTCAAACAAATGAATAAATCTTTAAAAAAAAAAAAAAAAAAAAAAAAAAGGTTAAAAAAAAGAAGAAGAAAATAGGTTATCTTGAAAAAGCAAAGTCCCAGGGTGAGAAATGTGCAAATGTGCAGCAGACTCACAGGGTAATATGTCCAGAATACAGCTGGAGGCAGAAGACTGCATAAGGGGCACCCACGGGGAAAAGAAACACAACTGCATTTGAACTATTAAAATACTAGGCATGTGATATCAGCTAGAACATTTTAGAAAAGTCAGAACTGAGAACACAGAAATCTAAGCACATTTGATAATAACTAACTGAAAAGACCACACAAAACAAAGTATGAGTAAGAAAACTGCCTTTGGGATGACTGGTATAGCGATTAAGATGCTGCTTGGAGGGGCCAGCATTGTGGGATAGCGAGTGAAACTACTTCCTGCGACACCAGCATCCCATATGGGCACCAGTTCAAGCCCTGGCCACTCCACTTCTGATCCAGCTCCCTGCTAAAGGCCTGGGAAAGCAACAAAGTATGACCCAAGTGCTTGGGCCTCTGCCACACATGTGGAGGATTTGGATAAAGCTCCTGGATCCTGGCTTTGGCCCAGCCCAGCCCTGGCCATTGCAGCTATCTGAGTAAATCAGCAGATGGAAGATCTCTCTATCCTTGTCTCTTTCAAGTAAAATACATAAATCTTAAAAGCGTGCTCCTTGGGATGCCCACATCACTTATCAGAGTGCCCGGGTTCTAGTCTTAGCTCTGATTCCAATTCCATCTTCCTGCTGGTGCACACCCTGGGAGGCAATAGGTGATTGCCCCAAGTGCTTGAGCTCCTGCCACTCACGTGGGAGATCCCTGGCTGTTGTGGCATTTGTGGAGTGAGCCAGAAGATGGAAGTTCACTCACTCTCTCTGCCTTTCAAATAAAATGAAAAATAAGAATAATTTTTTAATAAAAATAAGAGCTGTAAGTAGATGCAAGTACAATTAAAATGTTTCAAAACCCAAATAGCTAAATGGTGATGAGAGTAGGAAGTTAAAAAAAAAAAAAAAAAAAAAAAAAGCCTACAATGCTTTAAAAAAATATAACTGCTTTGGCTACTATCTCCAGTTACATGTGGATAAATACATGAATGTCTGAAATGTACTTCAGAATATTCAGGGAGGGACAGAAAGAGAAAGGGGAATCATGAAAAAGATCATTGCTAATGTTGGGAAATGTGCTGATGAAGGTACATTAGACTTAGCCTTTCTGAATGTTTGAAATTCACCATATTGTTAAAAATACAAGAAAACAATGATTTAAGAATTCAAATTACTGTCTATTCATTTTCATCCTTTGTTCCCATCACTAAAGTAGTTTTCTTCTCCATTTCCAAACCCATCTCACCACACAGAGCCAAAACATGTAGATTCACACAATGTGGTCTTTTGAAAATAAATCTGAATGCCTTAAATGTTTTTAAAATAAGAATTAGAATAACTGGTAAAAAGATGGACATTACTGGTTTTTTCTTCAATGAGTTACAATAACTTTTCCAATTTTGTAAAAAAAAAAAAAAAAAAAAAAAAAACCAGGAATTTTTTTCATCTCTGAAGCTTTAATCTTCCTCTGATGATTCTGTAGGCGCCTTAAAATTCTACGGTGTAATGATCATGAAATTAAGAGCACAAAAGATGCAAATGTTACAAACAGTTTCACTGAAACATCCTGAATGCTAATCAACCATTCCATTACCAATTTATTCATTTCTCTTTCAAACAGTGAAAAAAAAAAAAGACAATTCGTCAAGTCTATTAGAATTCCAAGGTAAACCTTACAAAGCAAATTATGTTTCCCATGATCACATAAATTTCTGCCTAAGAAGTTTCCTTACCCAGGCCCCTGGCAGCAATATCAGTAGCAAAGAGCACCGCAGCTTTCTTGCGGACGAATTCATTATAGACTTCCATTCTCCTCATCTGCTGCTGTCGACCATGGAGGGCAAGGATGGAGATACCAGGACGCAGCCGACAGAACACTCGGAATAGATACTGAACCTGGGCATTCACAGAAAAACAAATTTCTTACTTCAGGATAGCAACACTGAGGTTTAACAGATGAACAGCAACAATATTTTAAGAAGCACAAATTTCACCAACAAAAAAGGTTTTTAACAAAATGTGGATCTTAGAAACCACAGTCTAGAATTGTGGTCTTAAACCATTTTGCTCACATATTTTTAAAATGATATTTAAATGCTTTAAATGCTCTTCTTATATTTAAGTTAATACCTAAAATCCATCCAATTTGCATAATTTGAAGAATACAATTTCTGGTAAACACTGTTATTTTAAAATAATTTTTCCTGTTGATGTATCCAATGGATTCCAAAAAGCAGAGCTATCTGATACCTATGCCCAATCTAAAAAATGTGAAGAAACTCCTTTCTTTTCTTGTTTAACTCTTATTTTTATTTACTGAAACCACAAAACTACATATTAACTTTTTTCTAAAGATGTATTTATTTACTTGAAAGACAGAGTTACAGAGAGGCAGAGAGAGAAGTCTTCCATCCACTGGTTTGCTCCCTAGTTGACCACAATGGCCGGAGTTGTGCCAATCCTAAGCCAGGACCCAGGAGCTTCTTTAGAGGTCTTCCACATGGGTGCAGGGGCCCAAGGACTTGGGCTATCTTCTACTGCTTTCCCAGGCCCCAGCAGAGAGCTAGATCAGATATGGAGCAGCCAAGACTCGAACCTGCACGCACATGGGATGCTGGCACTGCAGGCAGTGGCTTTTCCTGCTACACCACAGCATCGTCTCCCATATATCTTTTGGGCTTGGAAATCTTCATTGGTCACATTAACACACCCATGGGGTAGAAAATTACCAGTTATCAGTCAAAGGCTAAACTAACTTCTCACATTGTATTACAACTGATACAAAACTGAGCAATACAAGAAATGTTAGAGCTGGATAAACAATTGTTAGTTAGACATGAGTCAATTTTAATTGTTAAATGCATCTCAATGTATTGGACTAGAAGGAACTGATTGTTTTCATTTTCTCTTTAGTTCATGCACTTATAAAACCATACTAAGGACTGAAGGACTGAGGCACAGTTCATTTATTCCTGTTTTCTCTTGCTAACATGAGGTATTAAGAGAATCTGTTCACATAAATACAGCAAAGGGACTTAAAGAAAGCTTAACTCTGAATACTTCCAAAACATGCCCCCCAAAAAATTAACTATCAAAAAAATCATTAAAAATTAAATAATCAGCCAATAATCCCATTAAAGTCTCCCTTCAAGTTAAAAATGGAAAACCACCCTAAGCGCAAAGTAACACTCACTGGAGGCCCTAACTTTCTCAAAAATAATACTCTAATGTCAGGGAGGCTCTCTTGATTCTGGTACAATATACCAGTAAGTTTAAGGATAAAGGAACCAATACCTTTCTTTTGTAACGATAAAAACAGTCCGCCATGAAGAGAGATGGAAAAGGAGAACCTGCAGACCCCAGATGCATTCTGAGAAAAATCAACTTCAGAAATAGGGTTTATAGGAGCCAGCGCTGTGGCATAGTGGGCCGGCCAAGCCTCCACCTGCGGTGCTGGCATCTCATATGGATACCAGTTCTAGTCCTGGCTGCTCCTCTTCCAATCCAGCTCTCAAATACGGCCTGGGAAAGCAGTAGTAGATGGTCCAAGTGCTTGGTCCCCTCTACCCATGTTAGGAGGCCTGGAAGAAGCTCCTGGCTCCTGGCTCCTGGCTCTGGATTGGCTCAGCTCCGGGCTTCACGACCATTTGGGGAGTGAAGCAGCAGGTGGAAGACCTGGGTCTCTGTGTGTAACTAACCTCTCAAACAAATAAGTAAAATCTTGAAGAAAAAAAAAAAAAGACTAACCTTTAAAGAAAAAAAAAGAAACACGGCTTATAAAAACTCAGAAAATTTAGGCCGGCGCCGCGGCTCACTAGGCTAATCCTCCGCCTAGCGGCGCCGGCACACCGGGTTCTAGTCCCGGTCGGGGCGCCGGATTCTGTCCCGGTTGCCCCTCTTCCAGGCCAGCCCTCTGCTGTGGCCAGGGAGTGCAGTGGAGGATGGCCCAGGTGCTTGGGCCCTGCACCCCATGGGAGACCAGGAAAAGCACCTGGCTCCTGGCTCCTGCCATCGGATCAGCGCGGTGCGCCGGCCGCGGCGGCCATTGGAGGGTGAACCAACGGCAAAGGAAGACCTTTCTCTCTGTCTCTTTCTCTCACTGTCCACTCTGCCTGTCAAAGAAGAAAAAAAAAAAAAACTCAGAAAGTTTAAATTGAGTTCTTGAAATCTTTCTGCACTCTACATCTCTTGAATCAACAAATTAACAATGACCTTAAATTCCTGCTATTTAATAAACCAGCTGAGGTACAAGACCTATGTGGAGTAAAGTCATGTAAGTTCTTTTTCCTATGGGGTTTAAATTTAATTCTAACTTATACAAAAAGTTATTGGAGGATTTTATGCAAGGCAACCATGTGTCCCACTTCCTGCTTTTCAGTTTTTGCTTTTTTAACTTTAATTTCTTGTGGTCGGACTGTATTAACTTCTCACACAGACCAATTATTACAGTTAGTACACAAATGACCAAAACAAGAAATGTCAGGACTTGATAAGTAACTTAGATATAAGTGAAATTTTACTGTTAAGTATATCTCAATGTATAGACTAGAAGGAACCCATTGTCCTCAATTTCTCTTTAGTATATAAGCTCATAAATGGATACTGAGGAGAGCTAGGCTGATCTTTTTGCCTATCAGGGAGAAAAACCTACAGGAAATAAAGTGAGGGAAGGGGGAAACAAAAAAAGAGGTTAAGACAAAATTAAGCATAGTTCAGGCTACGCTGTAGCATGGGCAGTGGTAAACAGTCACAGAATTAATGAGTTATCAACAAACTGAATATGGGATGAAAACAGACAAGAATCAGGATTTGGTCATTTACTGAGGTAGGCAGGAGTTACGGAAAGCAGGTCTATGAAGAATTGTTTTTCCTGTATTAAATTTGAAATGCCTTCTAGACATCCAATTGGAAATACAAGTAGAAAAGGCAACACCAAGGTGGGAACTCAAGAAAGAAGTCAGGGTTTGAGATGTAGATTTGGCAGCTGTTAGTACACAGGTGGAATTTAAAGTGATGAAATAAGGTTACCTATAAAGAAAAGTGCAAATGGAAAAAAGAGCGAGCACAAAAGCCTGAGTTACTCCAAACTGCAGTGGACAAGCAGAGGAAAAACCAGCAAAAAGGATTAAAATAGAGCACTCAGAAAGTAGGGTCAGAGAGAACAGGTTAAACAGTGCAGAATCACAAAAGTGTAAAGAAGTGCTTCAGGGGCCGGCGTGGAGGTGTAGTGGGTAAAGCCACCACCTGCAGTGTCCACATCCCATATGGGCACCAGTTTAAGACCTGGCTGCTCCACTTCCAATCTAGCTCTCTGCTATGGCCTGAGAAAGCAGAGGAAGATGGCCCAAGACCGTGGGCTCCTGAACCCCCATGGGAGACCTGGAAGAAATTCCTGGCTCCTGGCTTCAGATCAGCCTAGCTCTGGCAATTGAGCCATTTGGGGAATGAACCAATGGATGGAAGATCTCTCTCTCTCTCTGCCTCTGCCTCTCTGTAACTCTACCTTTCAAATAAATAAATACATAAATCTTTTAAAAAATAGATCCTAAAGCTAATAATAATCTGAAGTCATTCTTTTTACACAGTAAAACCATAGGGTTCAGTAGACAACAGAAATAGAAAGCCACTTATGTCCCCTCAAGCTAAAGAAAAATTTACCTGTACATTTATCACACAAAGCTCCTACAAAAGCTATCACCCTAGAGCTGATCTATTATATGCCCTATATATCATCAGCAACCTAAACATATAGAGGAGAAATGATATACAAACCAACCATGGTCCCTTCTTCTTAAGGGAGAAGACCACGTTTTCTTATGTATCTCTGAATCCCTTATGCCTAGTACAAAGCTCATGTTTAAAAAATGTTTGTTAACTAAATACAAATAGAAACAAAATTCTGCAGAAGCAACAGGGGAAGAAACAACTATTTAAAAAGACAATGTCAGAAAAGGACTTTGAAGTTTAATATTTGAGCTTAGCCTTAAAGAACTATTTCCCTATAGTTAGAATGAAAAGTATACAGGACACTCTTTCTAGATAGATTAGCATGAGCAAAGATAAGAGGCACGGAAATAAGGCACATTCAGTTTCACATTCAGAGGGGAGGACAGGGGAAGAGACAGGTTGGGAAGGGAAGGATCAGAAATGAAGATCCAGGGCCAATGCTGTGGTGCAGTAGGTTAGAGCCTGGGAAAGCAGCAGAGGATGGCCCAAATCTTTAAGTCCCTGTACCCATATGGAAGACCCAGAGGAAGCTCCTGGCTCTGGATTGGCTCAGCTCTTGCCATTGTAGCCATTTAGGGAGTGAACCAGTGGATGGAAGACCTCTCTTCCTCTCTCTGTCTCTACATCTCTAACTCTTTCAAAATAAAAATAAATCTTTAAAAAAAGGGGGGAGGGGGGGGATGAAGATCTGTGCTTAGCTTAGCTATCAGTTGTTCATTCTACCCATATTTATGGAGGGCCACTATGTTTCCAGTATCATCAGCACTTAGCACAGAAATGAAGAAAAAGACAGTTGCTGCCCTCATGGAGTTTTACAGTCTCATCCACATACTGTCTCCCAAAAAAAGGAACTAGACTATCATCATCTACAGATCCTTCACCACAACTAGCACTGTATATCTCATACAATTATTAGTCTAACTGGAACTTGCTATTTCAAGGATAATTCAACACAAAATAGCTTAGAAAGAAAAGGTCACAGTACCTCTTTGCAACTGGAGAAAAACACAATACTCTTCTTCTTCAGATGGCTTCTCAAAAAGGAATATAATACACTTATTTTTTGCTGCAGCTCACACACTATATAGTTCTGTTCCAAAGTGGCAGGAGTGCTTATAGAATTAAAAAGAGGAAAAACATTAAATATATGTTATGTTGCGGGAAAAAAAAAAAAAACTTCCCTACGGTCCCTTCAGAAGTGAATTCAATGCATCTCTTTAAAATACAGTCAAAAACCTTTAGAGGTTAAATGCTAAAAAAAAAAAAAAAAAAAAAAGCCACCGACATGCAAACTGTGGTCACCTGAAAAAGTACAGGGTCAAGATATACATAAGAAAGGACAGGAGTGAACTAGCTGGGCTGATGGAAATTTTCTACATATTGTTAGGGTCTGGTATAGTCACACAGATACACACATTCATCAAAACCCAACAAATATATGCTTAAAGTTTATAGATGCCTCAGTATGTAAATTTTACCAAAAAAATAAACTCTATACCAAATTTCAACTCTCATTAGTGATATGTATAAGGAGATGCATGTAGATATCTACATACGTCGAAATGCATCAAAAATTAAGATGGGTTAATATGCATTTAGAGGAATAGACAAATGACTAGTAAGTGAATGCTACCTAAAAGTGACAGATGTAAGGCATTTAAGTCTTTCAATTTACTGCATGGGTGAAACTCATCAAAATGTTAGAGGGAAGCATGTACACATTCACTCTTTGAATAAACCCATTTTTAAGATTCTATTTCCAAAATACTCTGGTTTTAAAAAAAAAGCATCATTTATAAAGAAAAAAATCAGAACATCAATCCAAATGCCCATCATTCCAGATAATCACAATTGCACATCCATACAATAAAGTATCACACAATTGTTAAGGGAAAAAAAATATGAATAAATAATCTATTCCAACATTATTGTGGAGTAATCTCTAGGGTGTACTGTTAAGAAAGAAGTAACAGAATAGTACATAGTTGGGTACCCTTTATCCAGGGAGGTATGTATATTCATCCATACACACGGGCAGTCACGTGTGTGTGTGTGTGTGTGTGTGTACATACATACACATGGGCATATGTGTTAAGAAAAAGCATGAGGAAGGCAACATGTTGGGGGAAGGGTGGCACATAATTAAAAATTAGTAGTCAATTAGTTTCAGATATAACATCAGATTCATAATCTATAAAAGAACCTGTAAGAAAATTTTAACTATAATGAAGTCCAACTTACCTGTGAAAGATACTGTCAAGAATTGGAAGATAAGCCACATAGTTAAAAAAAAAAAAAGTGAAGAGACATCTGATATAGGACTGTCCTCCAAAAATACAAAGAACTCTCAAAAAAAATCCTAATTTTAGAAAAGAAAATAAAAAGGGCACAGCAGGTTAAGCCTCTACCTGCAGGCCAGGAATTCCATGAGTGCCTCTTCAAGTACTGGCTGTTCCACTTCCCACCCAGTTCCTTTATAATGAGCCAGGGAAAGCAGCAGAGGATGGCCCAACCCACAGGAGAGACCCAGATGAAGCTCCTGGCTTTGACCTGGCCCAGCCCCAGCTGTTGCAGCCATTTGGGAAATGGAAGATATCTCTGTCTCTCCTTCTCTCATTCAAATAAATAAATCTGTTCTAAAAAAAACATAAAAGACAACAAAAGGTCAAAGGTATCTATACTTGAGGTGCTAAAGCAGAAAAATAAATACCTTTAAGCTAGCCCCATATTAATCTCCCTTTTCCTGCCTCCACCCACCCACCTCATAAAGCATTTTCAGATTCCAAGACTGGAGAGAGACAAAGTGGCAACCTTAAGCACAAACATGTTGGCCCCAGATCCTGGCAAGAAGGAAAACTGAATCTAAAATTTTTTATCCTATTTACCCTTGGGGAGTATGCCAACTCCAAAACATAACATACCCAGGACAGAATAAGGGAAAACAAGCAAAAAGCAGTAACCAAACAGTTATGGAACTGAGCAAAGACTGGCAGTCTCACAAGGCTACAAAGTTTACAGGATGCTTATGTAGAGGGGTTCTGGGAAATATCGCAGTTTGGCAGCTGAGACCCATTGAAAGGTTATGCCCTGAATGAAGGATGTATCTTAAGACCAATGACAAATCAGAAACAAAATAGCCCCTAGAGACTAATTACAGGCTAGAACATAGAGTGACCTGCTCAAGTATCATTTGCCTGCCAGAAAGAGAGAAAACATTCAATGTTTTGCTAAAAAACAAAGACAAGAAAACAATCTTAAAAAATGTAATCTTCAAAGGAACAAGAAAGCTGTCTGATTTTAATAGACTAATGGATCCTAGAGTACAGTACATAGATACCTTTGAAGAGAGGGGGAAGAAAAACTGCCAAGACGACCTTTAAACCAAAATGAAGATCAAATAAAGAAACTTTCAGCAAAGTGAAAAGAGTTTCACTACAAATATGGTCTAAAAAAATTCTTTAAACAAAGGAAAATTCTTGCATTATCATGCTCCCATTTGAGAAGAACATCTCAGTAAGTCTAAGCACTGTTTCAAATAATAGTGGACAATGTAGTTTAAAATGTGTGGAATAAAAATACATTAAAGTGAAGACACAATGACAGGGAGATGTAAAGAACCTAAATAATGAAAATAGGCTACTTACAAAGACAAAACTAAAAATGTACATGTAAACAATGTACAGAATATAAGGATGGGAAAAGATTCACCATGTAAACTCTAACCAGAAGAAGGTAGATGTGTTGGGTAGACAAACTAGACTATAAGGCAAAAAGTATTAGTAAAGGTTAAAAACATTTTATGAATATTTCAAACTAATAGGAAATGTAATACTAAATTTCTGTGTACCCAGCAGCAAGATCAAATGTTTCCCTCAAATTTGGAATTTTTCATAATTCACCACAAAATTCAACTTTTTTAGTCACTGGAAAACAAAGCAAATTATTGTGACACAAAGGCAACTATTTGCACTTAAAAATAAAAGAATCAGGGAAAGGCATTTGGTCAAGAGATGAAGACTAAGATGTCCATGTCCGTCATGAGAGTACCTGGGTTCAATCAATACCCACCTCTGGCTCGTGACTACAGCTTTGTGTTAACGCAGACCCTGGGAAGCAGCAGGGATGGCTCAAGTAATTAAATTCCTGCCACCCACATGAGAAACCTGAACTAAATTCCCAGCTCCTAGTTTCAGCCTAGCCCAGCCTCAGTTCCTGTAGGCATTTGGGAAGTGAAACAGCAGATGAGAGCTCTTTCTATCACTCAGCCTCTCAAATACATAGATACGAGCCAGCACTGTGGCACAGTGTAAGTCACTGCTTGTGATGCCTGAATTCCATATCAGAATGTCAGTTTAAGTCTCAGCTGCTCTACTTCAAACCTACCTTCCTGCTAATGTGCCTGGGAAAGCAGCAAAAGATGGCCAAGTGCTTGGACCCCTGCCACCCACATGGGAAACCCAGATGGAGTTCTTGGCTTCCACCTAGCCAAATCCCAACCATTAAGGCCATTTGGGGAGTGACCAGCAGATGGAAGATCTGTTATCTTAATAGCTCTTTCGTTCTCTCTCCCCTTCCCTTCTTGTGTGTGTGTGTGTGTGTATCCCCTCCCCTGTCACTGTGCCTTTCACATAAATAACTCATTTAAAAATAGATAAAAATCCAAAAAAAGAAATCAAATCATTAGAAGCACCATTTGTCTACAGAGATTCAAAAAAAAAGTTACACTTTTTCTAAGAGTTATTTATTTGAAAGGCAGAATTACAGAGAGAGAGAGAGAGAGAGAGAGAAAGAGAGAGAGTCATCTTCCATCCACTGGTTCACTCCCCAAATGGCCGCCAACAGCCATGTCTCGACCAGGCTGAAGCCAGGAGCCTGGAGTTCATCCGTCTCCCAGGAGGGTGAAGGGGCCCAACAACTTGGCCATCTTCTGCTGCTTTTCCAGGTGCATTAGTTAGGATTGGATGTGGATCAGCTGGGACTTGAACTGGCTTAACCTGTTACCCCAATATGCTGGTGGCCCAGACAGCATGTTTTCTAAGCACACTTTGACATACAACTTCAGAAATATCTAAGTTCTTTTTAATTTTCATATCCTTCATAATTTGAGAGCAGATATTATAATATGATGCCCTAAAATATCCTTAATTATAACCTCTCATGTTATATTAACTGAATTAGTAAGACATTCAAGGAAAAAAGTCAATAGTGACATTAGACAGAATCACTAACAACACCTACTTTTTATAATGTTCTGGTTCCCATGGAATTACAGAGTACTGCATTCATCACCACATAACCTGTAGCTTTGTAAACTATGCCACTATGTATCTACATTCTCAAACTTCTTCCAAAACCCGTGTTTTTATAAATACGAACTATGTTTCAAAAATCACTTATAAAATAAAATCAAACTCTTAGCATTCAGTTTTTAATATGTCTCAGTTATCTTCAGATAAAAGCCAATGTTATCATCTATAGAAACTGGAGATAGGGATAATATGTACAATTATCTAATTCTGACTCAGATTGTCTAGTCTTTACATTATCCAGCTAATTGAAATTTTTATGACAAGTAACTATCAACACAACTTTATGAGATTCATGTCTACTCAACAGTAAGCTAACAAAGAAACTACACATCAAGTAACTCATGCCATTCCATTCCCAATACTTGATAGCCAAGGCTACCAGTACTCAGATTCTCCAAAGTTTACCCATTAAGATCACCTGCAGGGCCGGCGCCGTGGCTCACTAGGCTAATCCTCCGCCTAGCGGCGCCGGCACACCAGGTTCTAGTCCCGGTCGGGGCACCGGATTCTGTCCCGGTTGCCCCTCTTCCAGGCCAGCCCTCTGCTGTGGCCAGGGAGTGCAGTGGAGAATGGCCCAGGTGCTTGGGCCCTGCACCCCATGGGAGACCAGGAAAAGCACCTGGCTCCTGGCTCCTGCCATCGGATCAGCGCGGTGCGCCGGCCGCAGCGCGCCGGCCGCGGCAGCCATTGGAGGGTGAACCAACGGCAAAGGAAGACCTTTCTCTCTGTCTCTCTCTCTCACTGTCCACTCTGCCTGTCAAAAAAAAAAAAAAAAAAAAAATCACCTGCAAAGATAGAGTTTGGCCTCTTCTCAGGCTAATTTTTAATCTTAGAAATCTACTGAACAAGGTCAAGGTGAGTCCAAATAATGGATTTCCTGTATTTAAGGATTTTCCAACAGGATAATCCAACCCATTTCTTTTTAGACTAAAATGTCATATCAAGAAAAAGTGAAAAAAGATTGAAGTAATGACACCATACTGGTATCCTTAACATAGAACCCAACTTATTCTCACAAAAAACATTTCTTCTGCAGGTCAAGCATCTCCACTGTCTGCAATGATTCACACCAAACATGAATCATGCCAACTTCCAGTTGCCATATCCAAATGTAACTTAAAACACATGTCCCCAACCATTAGCACTTCTCTCGCTCTTTCTCACACACACTTTACTCTCCAGTTTTGTTTTGTTTTTTTGACAGGCAGAGTGGACAGTGAGAGAGAGAGACAGAGAGAAAAGTCTTCCTTTTCCTTTGGTTCACCCCCACAATGGCCGCTGCAGCCGGCACACTGCGCTGATCCGAAGCCAGGAGCCAGTGCTTTTCCTGGTCTCCCATGCGAGTGCAGGGCCCAAGGACTTGGGCCATCCTCCACTGCATTCTCGGGCCACAGCAGAAAGCTGGACAGGAAGAGGAGCAACCGGGACAGAATCCGGCGCCCCGACCGGGACTAGAACCCAGTGTGCCAGCACCACAGGCGGAGGATTAGCCTAGCACCGGCCAACTCTCCAGTTTTTAATAAAACCATTTTTAAACATAGTTATTTTGTTAAATATAAATGTATTTGTTAAACATATTCCAAAACACATTGGTTCTGTAAAATAATGCCAAGGAGAATGATTTGGTACCCAAATAATTTTGGTGCATTTGGTAAACTAAATTCATCTCCCCAGTGCTTTCATATTCACATTGCCCATGAAAACATTAAAGGGTTCTAAGAAGCCTTGATTTAAGAGAAAAGTATTTTAACTTTAACTTAACATTTGCTATTTATCATGGAACTGATCTCCTCTCCTCTCATACATGAAGGGAGTAGCTAAGAAATAGTGAAAAATCTGTTAACATCTCATGAGAAAGTTTTTGTTCCTCAGACCAAACTTCAGAATAAGTAATTTTATTTTTAAGAGAGGTAGAGTTAGACAGAGAGAGGGAGTCAGAAAGAAAAGTCCTCCATCCAATAGTTCACTCCCCAAGTGGTCCCCAGTGGCCAGAGCAGGACCAATCTGAAGCCAGGAGCCAGGATCTTCCTCTGGGTCTCCCAAGCAGGTACAAGGGCCCCAGTACTTGTAACCATCTTTGACTGCTTTCCAAGGCCACAAGCAAAGAGCTGAATCAGAAGAGGAGCAGCGGGGATACAAACCAGCACCCACATGGGATGCCAGTGCCACAGGCAGAGGCTTAGCCTACTATGTCTGCCACAGCACCAGCTCCACAATGAGTAATTTTAACTTACATATTTACATACTTTGCACATCTAAACAACATACAAAGTATCTGATTTCCAAAAAATAAGTTTAAAATACTAAGTTCTTAAAATAGTAATAGTTGATTTAATTCAAATAGTATATACCTGTATTTTGCTTTTTCATGAACCCAGACATACTCAGGGTTTTTCAAACTCAAGCGTGCAAGGTCCTTTACAGATTTTGTTTGTGTTGCTGAGAAAAGTAAAGTCTGACGTTTCTTGGGAAGATTTTCAATAATAGCATTCATGGTATCAGCAAAGCCCATATCCAAGATTCTATCTGCTTCATCAAGAACTAAAAAAGGAAAACGCAAATTGAAATATTTAAATACACATTAAACCAAACGTAATCTGGTATCATGAATCAGTACCTAAAACAGAAAAAAAAGACAATAGTAGAAAAACTGGTGAAATTTTAATAAAGCCTAGAATTTATTATATAATATGCCAATATTAATGTCAGTTTTGACAAAGGTATCATAGTTTCATAAGATGCTAACACTAGGGGAAATTGAGTGAAAGGTATATAGCAACTCATTATAACTGCAACTTTTCTATACATCTTGAAGTATCTAAAAACAGTTAGAAAATATGTATTAGTATCACAAATTTAAAAAAATTTTTAAATGCCAATTTGACCTTTCAAGTTATCAGAAGTAGATAATAACTTAGACAAAATTAAAACCTCTCTACAGTGCCAAATGTCTAATAATAATTACCTAATTTCTTTTTTTCTTTTAAAGATTTATTTATTTATTTATTTGAAAGGCAAAGTTACAGAGAAGCAGAGGCACAGAGAGAGAGGACCTCCATCTCCTGGTTTACTCCCCAGACAGCCACAACAGCCAGAGCTGTGCTGATTCAAAGCCAGGAGCCAGGAGTTACTTCAGGGTCTCCCATGTGGGTACAGGGGCCCAAGGACTTGAGCTATTTTCTACTGCTTCTCAGGCCATAGAAGAGAGCTGGATCAGAAATGGAGCAGACAGGACTCAAACCGGTGCCCATGTGGGATGCTGGCACTGCAAGCAGTTGCTTTACCTGCTACGCCACAGCGCCAGTCCCATGAATTACCTAATTTCATATACATGAATGTATGTATCTTCTCTTTTAATCAAAAAAAAAAAAAAAAAAAAAGAAAAAAACAGGGCCAGTATTGTGACACAGCAGGTTAAGCTGCCACCTACAATGTTCACATTTCATATAAGCACCAGTTTAAGACCTACCTGTTCTGGTTCTGATCCAGCTCCCTAATGAGCCTGGGAAGGCAGTGGAAGATGGGCCACATCTTGAGCTCCTGCCACCCATGTGGGAGACCCAGATGGAGCTCTGGGCTCCTGGCTTCAGCCTGGCCCAGCCCCAGCAGTTGCAGCCATTTGGGGAGTGAATCAGTGGATGGAAGATATCTATCTATCTATCTGTCTGTCTGTCTGTCTCTCTCTCTCTCTTTCCTTCTGTTATCTATAACTCTTTCAAATAAATAAATCTTTTTAAAAAAATACCAAAAAAAAGCCTACCTTCCTGTGGTTTCTGGGTTCAAAGCTCAACACTCAAAAAAACTGTTTCTCAAATTGTTTTTAATCAGAACATTTACCAAATAACATTTCTGCCTTTAACATTTATGAGGTTTCTCTCCCAAGTCTGAGCTTTTTTTTTTTTTTTTCATTAGAAATGTATTAGACTCACCTAACATTTGGAGATTGGTGGCGTGAAAACATATTGTTTCATCCATGTGTTGAAGAAGCCGACCTGGTGTGCAAACGAGTATATTTATGTTGTTGATTCTCTCAGCTTCATGTTTCAGATCCTGAAAACAGTTTTTTTTTTTTATTACAGACATGTCACTCTCAGCAGTCTGTGTACCAAAACTATAAAAGCCATCTGCATGTGGCACTTCATCATAGCAATTTAAATACTCTCAGAAACATAACTTCTCCCTTGCATTTCTGTAGTATTTCCAAATTTTGAGGCTAAATAAAAAGCTTTGGTGAAGGCCTAAAGAGCTCAGAATTCTATACTCTTAATCACACCCAGTATTTTCAGACCTTGAAAAAATATCAAGTGACTATCCAAAGTGTTAATTTCCTATCCAGTCAGCCAGAACTAACTTAAAAATTGGAATTGGTCCCATGCATTCAATCAGGGCCTCAGAGCCTTGAACTGGACACTAATCACCACACTCTGTGGACTGAAACAAAAGCCAACCTATACATTTTAGAGGTTCCCTACTTTGGAGACAAAAATCACAATATGTTAGTAGCTAGGGCTTAGTGATAGGTTCAAGAGTACAGAAGGGTCTGTGATGCTATTCTTTGTTCTTTTTCACATGTCTACATACAAACTCAGGAAGCCAAGTGTGTATCCTCACAGAGTAGAGGGGACTCTAGCAGATACAAGTATTCTAGGTATTCTCTAAGGCAGAAAAAATATTGAGCAGGTTTTATCATGACCTAAAATAAACATTCCTCCAATTTACCTTCCTTTCTTGCGCTGCTAATGAAGCTAATGTTCTGAATTATGGTGTTAGATATATTCCTTATTACAATGCACAAGTCCACAAACTAATGTTATTTTCCCAATATTTAACACGACAGATTACAAAAAAATCTGTGTCAGAGTCTAATGAATTCAGATATCCTGACAAAAATGGACTTTCTGAACTTATAAAACTGATAACTCTTAATCACAGTGGCCATACAAAGGTGCTAACCCCAAGAAGCCCTGCCTAGAAGGTCAGTCTGTTTATAGATTAAGTCTTCACCAGTCTTCCCTAACCCCCAGCAATTGCCATGGTGCTTCAACACAGAGTACAGAGGCAAAGGTGGAAGGACAACAGTAAAAAGACAAACCTTTCCACCAATGATGAGGCCAGCTGAAAAGTCATGATTCTTCCCCACTTTCCGGAGAACCTCAAAGGTCTGATAAGCCAGTTCTCTCGTAGGTGAAATTATCAGAACCCCCAGACCATCTGTGGAAGTCCACTGCAGACGATATAAGGCTTCCAGCACCTCAAAGAAGACAGTAAATTTGTGTTCAGTAAGATGTTGGCAAAGTCAGCTTTTTTATCCATATATCAACCTTGCCCCTCAAATCTGACATCTTCCAGGCAAAAAACATACCACTCACAAGTTTTATCCAAAACAAGAGATTGCTTCTTTCTCTTCCATCTACCAGAAGCATAACTTGGAAGGAAGGGAAAAGCAGCCCATGGTAGCCCCAGCTAGAGCTATCAGGAGTTTAGCTATCATTTTCTGTACCACATTAAAAACTTTTCATCTAAATAGCAAGTTATATACTGACACACTGACACTGCTCATAAAAAAAAGCTAGGATTCAATAGAAGTCTGGTAATACTTGGGACTAAAATGTGATTTTTCTGGGCCAATTATTTTTGAGAATCAAAAATCAGAAGACCAAGTGAGAAATAAGTGAATTCCTAAGTACCTATTGTACTGTCACAAAGGACAGATCTCAACGTCCTAAAAATTTTCAACAAATGACCCAAACTCCTGAAAATAAGCATACTTCAGATTGATCCTAAACAGACAGTAACTGGAAATGCAACTGGCAGGCCTGTAAAGGCCAGAGAAAAAACAGGTTTCCTCACCTTTTTTTTTTTTTTTTTTTTTTTTTTTTTTGACAGGCAGAGTTAGAAAGTGAGAGAGAGAGACAGAGAGAAAGGTCTTCCTTCCACTGGTTCACCCCACAAACGGCCGCCACGGCTGGCACACTGCAGCCGGCTTGCTGTGCCAAACCAAAGCCAGGAGCCAGGTGCTTCCTCCTGGTCTCCCATGCGGGTGCAGGGCCCACGGGCCTGGGCCATCCTCCACTGCATTCCCGGGCCACAGCAGAAAGCTGGACAGGAAGAGGAGCAACCGGGACAGAATCCAGCACCCCAACCGGGACTAGAACCCGGGGTGCCAGCACCGCAGGTGGAGGATTAGCCAAGCGAACTGTGGTGCCGGCCAGGTTTCCTTACCTTCTACATAGCAGAACCATTCAGAACTGCCACACCTGGAACATCCGGCATCCTTCAAGACTATAATGGCTTGTGAAGGAGCAATCATTCATTCATTCAAAGAATTAATGAATACCCATCATGACCAAAGCACTGTGCTTGGATTGGGGAAGACCATGGAGAATAACAGAAATATGGCCCCAAGGTATTGAAGTTTACTAGATTCTAACAAAGGAAATATAACATCAAAGCTCTTTACATAAGGCTCTATTTGTAGTTAGGCATAAAATGTTTTCTGACTATATACCAGAGGATCTGACCCAATATCTTCAGTACTTACTGGAACCAGGAAAGCCAAAGTCTTGCCAGATCCAGTCTTGGCAGCTCCAAGTACATCTTTACCTTGCAAAGCCAATCCAATAGTCTGCTTCTGTATCTCAGTTACCAAACGGTACTGGGCTTCCTGCAAACCTGGCAGTGGGGAGGGGAAAATGACTCTTTAGAAAAATCCCGGTATGATGGTGTTACAGGCTGAAATCTTTAAGACACAATTAAGTAAAAATCAGTCTCTTCAGCCTTTCCACAATATATACATATTTCCAAGCATCCTGTCATGCACTATAAATTCTTTTTTGACAAATAAGAGTCAGCTAAAGGGTAGCCACTTGCAAGCCTAGGAAGGAGGCCTGGAACAGATCCTTCCCTTTGGCCCTTAGAAGAGATCAACCTTTAGCCGGCGCCGTGGCTCAATAGGCTAATCCTCCACCTGTGGCGCCGGCACACCGGGTTCTAGTCCCGGTCAGGGCGCCGGGTTCTGTCCCGGTTGCTCCTCTTCCTGTCCAGCTTTCTGCTGTGGCCCGGGAATGCAATGGAGGATGGCCCAAGTGCTTGGGCCCTACACCCGCATGGGAGACCAGGAGAAGCACCTGGCTCCTGCCTTCAGATCAGCGCAATGCGCCAGCTGCAGTGCGGCGGCCATTGGAGGGTGAACCAATGGCAAAAGAAGACCTTTCTCTCTGTCTCTCTCATTTTCTAACTCTGCCTGTCCAAAAAAAAAAAAAAGAGACCAACCCTGCCAGAACCTTGATCTTGGACTTCCAGCCTGCAGAACTGAGAAAATAAATTTCTGTTGTCTATACTACCCAGTCTGCTATTTTGTTACAGCAACCCTAGCAAACTCACAGTAAAGGTGTCACATTGTTTCCTTACTTATCTTAACAATCAGGTTTCACTGTAATTATTCACACGCTCCTGAAAATTTTACAGGTTTCAGAATATTAAAATTATTTGACAAAATAAGGTTTTTCAGGTTCAACTCTCTAAAACTCCACTTATAAAAAGTAGCAAGAAATCCAGTAAGTAACATGTACCAAGATCACCATATACTTACCTTTCAATGTTTTCTTGGACAAGGGGAAATCTGAAAATCTCGTAATCTCATTTACATTTATCTATGGGAGGAAAAGAGAAAATGAAAGAAAAAATTATCTACCGGATAATTAACTTATTTCACAATAAAAACATTATTTTTCCACATTGTACTGTCTAGCTCATTCTTGATACTAAAGGTCAGCATTCAACAATTATTTGTGCCGGCGCCGCGGCTCACTAGGCTAATCCTCCGCCTTGCGGCGCCGGCACACCGGGTTCTAGTCCCGGTCGGGGCGCCGGATTCTGTCCCGGTTGCCCCTCTTCCAGGCCAGCTCTCTGCTGTGGCCCGGGAATGCAATGGAGGATGGCCCAAGTCCTTGGGCCCTGCACCCCATGGGAGACCAGGAGAAGTACCTGGCTCCTGCCACCGGATCAGCGCCGCAGCGCACCAGCCACGGCGGCCATTGGAGGGTGAACCAACAGCAAAGGAAGACCTTTCTCTCTGTCTCTCTCTCTCTCTCTCTCACTGTCCACTCTGCCTGTCAAAAAAAAAAAAAGAGAGAGAGAGAAAAAAAAAAAAAAAAACAATTATTTGTAACTAAAAGTCATCATTCCTTCTGAAATGGATCTTTTGAGGAAGCTGTCCTGAATAAGAAAAATAACTATAACCATTTCAATTCATCAAAAAAATTCTTTCAAAACATACACACATTATCTTCAATAACCTTCACCTCCAAAGTGTGGACACATGAATTTTAGTAAGAACAGGTATTTTGGGTCATCCTTCAAGGGCTATTAATTTAGGAAATAAGGAGCAAAATAACTACAAACCACAGACCATGATGAAAGTAGTTCTATTTATACACCTTCTAGAAGAGACTGAAGTTAGCTGATGCAAACACATCTTGATAGCACAAGCCTATCAAAGGTTTAATCATCTATCAGTGGCATATGAAATTCAACCTAATCATACTCATTTGAGGGTGCACTGAAGGTGGAGTATTATTCCAAAATAACCAGAAGAAATTTGTGTCATGATTTGAAGCCACAGTAAGTAACACTTTGCCCTTTAACTTTACAACTTCACATTATCCAAATGTTCATTACTGATGTTCTTCATTAGCATAAACCCAATATTCTAAATTTCATTTCAGCAGCTCAGGAGAATTACTTTATTACAGATGCTGAATGCAGGAATCACTGCTCAGATCTGGGAATATGCTGTCAAATTATTCATGATTCACAGAAGGCAAGGCTGCATTTATAAGGTTCATTTATTTAAATTATACTCTAGGCAGTGAAAAAATTACACTGGTATTTCATATCACAATCTACACACCTTCCCTAGGATCCTTAATGTTACCTAGGTGAGGTTACAGTTCTGCCCTCCAATACTGAAAACACAAATACAAGTATTAAAATAGTGCCTTGGTCTCTGCAAATCATGCCAGAGGTCACTGCAGAGTAAGTAGACATAATAGGTGCACTAGAATTAAAAACGAGCTTATTCAAGCAACGTGCTGTCCCAGCAAGAAACCTCAACTAGAAGACCATCTTGTGAACAGGACAGTAAGACAACACACAGTGCACCCTTACACTTCCGGTATTCTTAGACAAAAATCTGTTTTCACAGGGCATGGAATGCCTACAGAAGGAGGTAGACTCAGCACACTCTGCATTCCCCATCAACACAGGCCAGGCAAGGTGACTACCCAAAATTCTGCACATCTTTCTAAAGTCTGTTAACCTCCTAGTGACAAAGTTTGAAAGAAACGAATTGTTCAAGCACTCTACCACCAACTATTAAAACAGAAAGCTCTAAACCATGTTCTTAAAGGAAAGGGAGGAAAGAAACAGAAATTGATTCTGCTGACGCCATAGGAAAAGGGTCAACAATGCCTAAAGACCACACCCAATCTGCTGCCTACTTTTTGTAAAGTACTTGTGACAGAGACAACATGTTCCACAAGCCTAACACTGGCTGTTTACAGGGAAAATTTGCTGACCGCTTTCTAGAAGATCCTCTGTTAATATTCCAAGTAGTATATCAAAGCCATGACAAAAGATGGCTACACTTCCCACAAAGAAATACTCTCTTTTGCCCTTCCCTTTATGCCTTTTCTCGGAAAGAAAGAGGCAGGCATTATGCCTAATGGTTAAGACTGCTTGGGACACTTGCATCCCATATCAGAGTGCCTGGGTTCAAGTTCTAACTCCACTCCAATTCCAGCTTCCCACTAATGTGCATCCTGGGAGGCAGAAGATAATGACTCAAATGGCTGAGTATTGCAGTCCACTTAAGAGCTGTGGATTGAGTTCCCAGCTCCTGGCCTCACCGTGATCCAGCTCTGGCTGTTGCACCTGGGAGGTAAACCAGCAGATAGGAGCTCATGCTCGCTGGTTTGCTGGCTCGCTCGCTTGCTCTCTCTCTCTCTCTTCACACACACACACACACACACACACACACAAATAAAAATTTTAATTTTAAAAATCCCATCTCCTGGGGCTGGCATTGTGGCATAGTGGGTAAAGCTGCCACCTACAACACCAGCATCGCATATGGTCACTGTTTCAAGTCCTAGCTGCTCCACTTCCGATCCAGCTCCCTGCTAACAGCCTAGGAAAACAGGGAAAGATGGCCCAAGTGCTTGAGCACATACACCCACATGGAGATTCAGGAAGTTCCTGGCTTCAGTGCAATGCAGCCCGGCACCTGAGGCCACTTGGGGAATGAACCAGTGGATGGAAGACATCTCTATTTCCCTCTCTCTGTAACTCTCTCAAATAAATAAATCTTAAAAAATAAATCTCTGCAATCCTTATGCATCACCTAAAACCTGTATCATTCTTCTGAATTGATGGAATGGATATCTTAGGAATGGTCCTTATAAAGGCTTCCAAGGCTGGTAGAAAAGCTAAAGGAAGCACAAGGCAGAATATAGTGGCTGTCACTTAAGCAATCCCATATATTCCTTACAACTGTCTTATAATACCTATTTCTCACAAAAATGAGTAATGCCTGGAGCAAAAGTGCAAAAACTTCCTAGAATACTACACCTACTGCAATCAAATAAAGCAATCTGCCTCAAATCACATCACCCTACACCAAACTGTAATTTAAAAAACAAAACCAGGATTAGAATGTAATGTCTACAGAGCACAACTGATTACACTAAAAGCCTAAATGAACCCCGAGTGCAGAGTTTGAGTCATTCAGGAATTGTGAAAACAGTTGCTGAACTAAAACAAATAGCTCAGCGTCTCTCAAAAGCCCCAATCCCCAGTTCTGCACCAGCTCTGCCTGCACATACTCCCTCTGAGATGGCACTGGAAACATGGCAGTCAGACCTTTTGCTTTGGGGAGCATGGCTGACTGACAGTGCCAGCTGCCATCCCTCTAGACCCACCACTGAAAAAGCCATTCCTCCCCTGAGCTGCTCAGTTAATGACTAAGCTCACTGCAGTACAGCAGTCGACCTCTTATCCACAGTTTTGCCTTCCCCAATTCAAATTTATCAAATGGAAAGTTCCAGAATTCAAACATAAATTTTAAGTTATTTTTATTACAGTGTATTATTATAACTGTTCTCATTACTGCTAGTGTGCCTTTTAACTTAAAGGTCACCACAGGGATATATTTAAAAAGTATAGTGTAGAAGCCGGTGCTGTGGCATAGCAGGTAAAGCCACCACCCGCCGTGCTGGCATCCCATATGGCCACCGGTTCAAGACCCCGCTGCTCCACTTCCGATACAGCTCTCAGCTATGGCCTGGGAAAGCAGTAGAAGATGGCCCAAGTTCTTGGGCCTTGGCACCCTCATGGGAAGACCCAAAGGAAGCTCCTGGCTCCTGGCTTTGGATCAGCATAGCTCCAGCCATTGAGGCCAACTGGAGAGTGAACCAACAGATGGAAGACCTTGCTCGCTCGCTCACTCGCTCTCTGCCTCTCCTTCCCTCTCTGTGTAACTCTGACTTTCAAATAAACAAATCTTAAAAAAAAAGTACAGTGTAATATGGGACTCAGTACTATCCGTGGCTTCGCGCTTCACTGGATTCTTGAAACACAGACCCTGTAGTTAAGACCCTGTACTACTACTGCAAGCCCATTCCTGCATGTTAAGGGATTCCTTTAACGGGCTATTCAGGAACAAGAACTCATCAGCCTAGGTGAAGCTTTCTTAGAACTAGGTCAGTCTGAGAACCTTGCTACCTGCTTCTCCTTCCCCTCCCTGTTCCCCTTCTTTCTCCTTCATTCTTCACAGGCATTTCCCCCAGTAAATCTCCACAGCATCCAACCCCACTTCAGTATCTGCTTCTCAGAGTACACCTGGATTAATGTCTCCAACTGATCTCTTAGCCTCCAGACCTTTCACAGCTCCTATAGATTCTCTAATTGTACCCCAGAGACTGCACTGCTTCCAGATACAGTTTCTAAGCACAACCTCTTCATGCATTTCCTACTGTTGCTCTAACAAATTATCACAATGTCTTAACACAAATGTCACTTTACAGTTCTGAAGGACAGAAGTTCAAAACAAATGCCACTTGGCTAAAGTCACAGTGTTGGCAGCACTGCATTCTTTCTGCATGCTCCGCCTCTAGTGGGGAGTCCATTTCCTTACCTGTTCCACCTTCCAGAGGCACCAGATTCCTTGGCTATGCTACCTTCCATCTTTAAAGCCAACAAAGGGCAGCCACTCTTTCCCATATCAAATCACTTTAACAATGATTCCTGTGCCTCCCTCTTCCTCTTTTAAGCAGGCCTGTAATTACACTAAGCCCACCGAGATAATCAGGATAATCACCTGCTTTAAGGTCAGCTGATAAGCAATCTTAATTACTTTTTGCCATCTTAACATAGGCAACAGTTTCCAGGAACAAGGATGCAGATATCTTGAGGCCACCATTCTGCATACCACAGCCCCCAAAGTATTCACAATCCACTTCCAACCTTCTTCTCCAATCCCATCTGAAGCCAATTCAGGAGCACGTGCAACACTCCAAGGAGTATAAAGCCATGTCCAAGAAGTTCATGGAAAAATGGAACAAAGAGTTAAGTTTTATTTTGGTACAAAAATTTT